CCCTCCCCCCCCCCCCCCCCCCCACCTTTCTCCTTTTTGCTCTCCCACAGCTTGGACCCCAACAGCACAGACCCCAAACGGCATCTTGTCATAGTCACGCCACCCCCAGGCTAGCTGATGCTGAGAGGTGTCTATGTGTGTGCATCTCCAATTTCACTAGAACAAAGGCAGACAGAACAGTGTCCACTTGGGGCTTTTTGGAGCTAATCATCAGGTCAACTGGTAATGTCCCTCTGTTCTTCCTTACAAATACCTTGGAAAAAGCTGTTTCAGAAGAAGTTGAACTAATGAGAGAGATGTGTTCTAATAAGCTCCCTTCTGGCTTCTGACTTGCTTCAAAGGCCACAATCTGACAGTGTTCAAGAGGGGACAGGGAGAGGTGTGAGAAATAGATTTTATAGATTTCATAGACATTAGGGCTGGAAGGGACCTCGGAAGATCGAGTCTAGCCCCCTGCCCCGGGGCAAGAAGTCAGCTGGGGTCATAGGATCCCAGCAAGAAAAGCATCCAGACTTCTCTTGAAGGTGTTCAAACTAGGTGTTTGAACCACCTCCAATAGCAGGCTATTCCAGACCTTGGGGGCTTGGACAGTAAAGAAGTTCTTCCTTATATCCAGCCTGAAACGGTCTTGCAGGAGTTTATAAGCGTTCGACCTTGTTATCCCTGGGGACGCTCTGGTGAACAAACATTCCCCCAGATCCTGGTGAACACTCTTTATAAACTTATAGGTGGCCATCAGATCACCCCTGAGCCTGCACATTTCCAGGCTGAAGAGTCCCATAGCTCTCAGCCTGTCATCGTAAGGTCTGTTTTCCTGACCTCTGATCGTGCGCATGGCTCTTTGCTGAACTCTCTCAAGCTTCTCCACATCCTTTTTGAATTGTGGAGCCCAAAATTGGATGCAGTACTCCAGCTGCGGCCTCACCAAGGCCGAGTACAAATGACCTGGTTTGCAATGCATAGGACCTTTGAGTGCCACCAGTTTGCTGCAGACAGTGTGAAGGAACAGGGAGAGGGAGATTGAAAAGTTCAGTATCATCAACAAATGCATGCACTCCACACAAGCAGTCCTCCCTCCCCCACACCCCTCTTTGCCTCAGAGTGCTAGGTGGGAGCTGGGGTCTGGCAACACTCCCACTCTTTGCAAGGGCTCCCACTCTAGGCATACCCCAGCTGGGGAATGTACAGACCAGGGTTGGGGTTTAAACCCCTCCCTAATCAGAGTGTCCTGCCGGGGCCTGGCCACACCCCACCCCCTACAGCTCAACACTGTTGAATGGAAGGGAAAGCTCACTGTAGCGCCCCTCCCTCTCCCCAGATTCTATCTTGAGCCACTGCAGACATGTGCCTTCATTTCCTGAACCAAAAGTGAATGTCTGTCCACTTGCAAACCTGTTCAATCTCTGCAGGTTAGATAAGCCTGCAACGATGAAATCAATTCAGGCTCTGGCTTTTTGAATGTCTGTCCCTAGCCCTGGTGGCAAGTCACAGCTCCAGCTCCTAGTCCTGCCTCTACTCACCAGCCATTTAGTAGCAAGTCACAGCTGTGAAAGTGGGAAATAGTCAGAGAAGGTTTCTAGACTAAGGGTGTGACTGCTCCAAACTCCAAGCTAGCACTAAAACTGATCAACACTTGTGTGACTCACAACATAATTTGTAACAAGGCCCTGACAGGGAAATTAATCCATTAGAATTTGATGTTTATTCCAAGTGTCTTCAAGTGTCTCTTTTCCTAAAAAGTGAGTCAAATACTTGCTTTATTACTTTGTGTTTCCAGACCTGATGCAATACAATATTGAAGAAAGACTCCCCGCTGACCCACGGTAATTTTGTATGTATGGATGGATGCAGAGGGCTTTTCTGCCTGCCCTTGTCAACCTATAAATTACTTACTTTGATGGTGTAAGGGAGTACCTTGAACTAAATTAAATATAAGTCCCTTTTTTAAAAAAAGGGGAGCAAAAATTGCAAAATGAAAGAGGAAAATATAGCATTTGATTTATTATAGCTTATCTCTCTCTCTGCCTTTTTCAATTTTTCCTTTTTCCACTTACCTGCACGTGGTAGAAATGAGGTTGGAATACTGTTGAGATGCATTCAGCAAGTCCACGTCTGCATTTGCATCTCTAATGCCCTCTGTTGAACACCACACCACTGGAAAATGAAATCTTAAAAGCTGTATGCAGAGTGTCCTTCACTCTTTGCAGGTTCCTACTGTAGGTAGATACTGTAATAGAACGAGCACTCTGACAGCTGTAGCTTAAAGATCAAGGTGTGCTACCTTTCTAGCATGTCTTGGTGCACAATCATATTCTGCTAGAGTGGATACAAGTCTTCCCTTCTCATGACAGAAGAAAAGGAAAGGCAATTCAAAAGGGAAATGCAGTCATTTTTAAAAAGTCATTACACGTGATCCCCATATTTCAGCAGATGTGCTCAAGTGCAAAGAGCAGCGAGCATGGATTCAGTTCCATTCACCATCACACAATTGTGACCAAGTTTGCTTTTATCTTTTATGTCAGGCAATCAAAAGAAAATAGGATTATACTTACTGGGAGAGGGGCAAATAAAATCATGATAATTAAAGAGCAGAAAATCTAACTGTGGTTTAGTCTGGAGGCATATTAATGAAAAAAGGCTTAAATAAATTACTCAAACAAGATCTCTGGGTTCTCTTCCTTCTCTTTGTGCCTTGGATGGAAGAGGAAGGCACCACTGATTGTGTTAACTGTATCCTTTTAAGCTCCAAAATGCAGAGTTCATAACCTAGGAAACTGCCATACAACTGCATAAACAAAATCAATTAAAAAAAACTGGGGGAAAAAAGAGACACTGTGGATAAAATCTTGTGTCACAGTCAACGTGAGCTTCACAACTGAGTCTTGTATACAGTGACATGTTCTGTGGCCTTTTTTAGCTTCCTCCTTTGGAATTCAAAGATAATTTTTTCATCTGACAATTATGATGTTACTTTTTTTCCCTAATAATAGCTATTCTATTTCTCACAGCTTTCCCATTTCCAGTTAAACATCCTGACTCAGGCAAGTTCTTTAGCAGATGCCTAACTCTCAGTATACATGTTAAGTTCTACTGAAGTCAATCAAACTCAACTCAAAGTGTGTTCTTAGTACTGGCTCTCTGTCTTTCCTAAACTGAAAATGAGTACAGGATTGCATTCTTATATTTCCACTCAGCAGCTCTCTATTATCTCCCTCCTGGTTCATTAGTGGACTGCACTTACCGGTAGAAGTTAGTACAATCCACTGTTGAGTGACAATTCTGAAACTCCCAGGCTTTCAGTTTCTGGCATTCCCGGTGGGCTCTGAGTTTTACCCTCACTGTTCCTTGGCACAGTTCAGGTGCAGGTTTCCTCTGTGGGCGACTGCAAAACTCATTTGACTCGATGCGCCAGGACTCAGCAAAATCATCCACCTCAAACTTAAAATTGCCGTCACCTCCAATCAGGTCATCTCTCTTGTGTCCATTGTAGTTGCCACATAAACCACAGAGTTTGCCCTTCAAATGAGGTGCTGCCATGACTTCAACAAAACTGTCCCCATCCCAGGAGATTTCTAAACCTGATACAGAAAGGAAGAAGACAAAAAAAACTTTATCATAATTAAGCACAGTTTATGTTTACAAAACAGTGTGCCTGAGGAACTAAATGAAACCTTTGCTTTCATCCCCTAGTATTGCTGGATTTAGGTCTTTTGCATAGAACTGTTCAGAAAGTGCAATATTTCTCAGATCTAGGGTGACCATATGTTCCAGTCTGGCCAGGACAAATTTCAAGACTGATTTTGTAGGCTGGGACAGATTTCATAGGCTGTCCCAGTGTCCTGGCTAGTTGGTGAAAATGGAGATAAAAGTCCCAGATAGTGCCACCCCACCCACATTGCCCAGCCTGGCTCCACCTAAGCAGTGGCTGGAGGCAGGGGGCAGGCTGGGCTGGGCACCGCTCCTGCTGGGAGTGAGAATCAGCCAGAGGGGATGAGGGATAGTGTCTTGGATTTCCTTAAAAATAATATGGTCACCCTATTCAAATCAGAGTAAATTACAATATATTGTAAGAATCTGTGGGCTACAGACAGGAGGGTTTCTTTTAATCCAAAGTTGGAGATAAGACAGAAGCATTCTGGGTGAAATCCTGGCCTTACTGCAGTCAATAGCAAAATCGCCTGGAACTTCACTGCAGTCAGAATTTTACAGAGTACAGGCAGCAACAGTATACAATTTTGCCTACACCACAGCACACCAACAATGAGTTATGGAGCTACCACTTGTTCTGAAAGCTCATTTATTCCTTGTTCTTTATGCTGATATGGACAGTCAATAAGTCTTTTAGTTGTGGATACCTACAGATCAGGTTCTACTCCAGCTGTTGGACACCTAAATGGACTTTAGTGCTGGAGTGCAATTCTATTCCACCCTGTTCAAGTCCATAAATATCCATTACTGGTTCTACTTTTGTAACACACCACCACCTTGTTCTTCAGACTGAGTCACAGAAAAGTAGAAGAACTCACCCACCTTTTGTATTAACTGTTTTTCAAGGACATAAGCAAGGTGGAATAGGATTGTATTTATGTCCTTAGTCTGAGACTAGTAAACTTACTTTACATAAATCAATAAAGACAGATTCAAATGGGTAGTCATGTTCAGAGAAAATAGTCATGTTCAGAGCACACCACCTGGAAGAGGATTCAAAATGGTTAATTTAAAGGAGGTTCAGATCCCTGTAGTTCATTACAACTTTCACCCATTAAATTCTCATAAATTAGCAAAACATTTGAAAGCAAGAGGAGGCTGGGTTTGAGATGCAGAAGCTTGGATTGAGATATTGATGAAGTGCCTTCCAGCCCTACTTGCCTATGATCCTATGCATTGTTCCATTCTGTTTGACAACTCTTAAAACTAAGATTTTGTACCTTCAAGATGTCAAGTTTTAAATTGTTTTCTATGGGAAGTAAAAATATAGATGATAAAAGAACAACCTTTTGATATTGTTTTGGAATAAAAGAACATTGGCAATTACTGAGGTTCAAGTCCTATCAGAAATTGTTATTCTTTACCTTCATTCCTATTGTCAGTGCCATCTGAAAATAATACTTTAGCTTAGGGAGTGCTTTCCATTGGAATATCACAAAACATGTGACCAACAGTTATATATCCTCCCGACTTCCCTGTATCATTACCTGCATTCTACTAGAAACAAGACCCATAAAATTTGTGCCTTGGTCAGATTCACACAGGACGCCTGTGGCACAGCCAGGAACAGAACAGGATTTCTTTACACCCTCTCCTTTCAGGCTTCATGGGCATTTATACACATACCTTTTCATGCTGCGATGAGCCAGAGATTCTGCTCCAAATGCAAGCTGATGTGCCCGGAGCTGCATCACTTGTATTTGTATAAACAGTGCATCAGTGCTGGGTAAGTGGCAGTGGGTGTGCTTTTGAACTAAAACACCTTCAACATGTTTTCGTTCAAAAGCATACCAGCACCATTTTCTCAGCGCTGACGCACATTTTGCCATTTATACAAATGCATGCAATGCAGCGCTAGGCACTTTCAAAAGCTCCCGGCGCTGCATCACACACGCATCTAAAAATGTCCCATATGATCAGTATCCCTTGCATATTCATATACGTAACTTAACATACCAATCACTCCATTCAAATCTGAAATGGTTCCTTTAGCAATAAGCCTCACTGACTCTTATTACATTTTCAATTTCCATAGCTACTCAAACAGAATGTGCCTCAGAAGTAACTGTAATCAGAACAAAGGCTGCAAAAGAGTTTTTTTGTCACTGGTACAGATTGTCTTTTCCACGCTATGTTTGAGACATAGTTTGAGACATGTTATCATGTGTTTTGGGAAAACAGTTGTCAAGTAGATAAGAATATAACAAGTGCCATACTGAATCAGACCGATGGTTCTAGCCCAGCATTCAATAGTGGCAGGAGTAGATACTTTAGAAGCAGAGTATTGAACAGGGCATAACTAGAGTGATCTATCCCTCATTCATTACTGTGTCGTCCCCACAAGCATCCACTATCGGTGGTTTTGAGATGCCAGAGGACACATCTCTGACAGGTACCCATTCAGCGTGCTCCCTCACAGCTTCATGGTTTCTTATGAAGGCAGTGCAGGTGCGCAGTGCAACGTCTAAACATATCCTTATTTAACCCATGTCTGAAAATAATTTGACATATTGTTATAACACTTGAATGGTCAAAGCCACTGCATCTTGTTCCAGGGGCATTACAGTTATTATTTAGTTTACTGAATATGCAACAAGCCATCTTTGCTTCTGACAACACTGCACAAAACAAAACACAGCTTGATTTTCAGACACCGGGCTGATTTTGCCATGCCAGCATTTAGAAGAGCTGCCATTATTTTGTAAATTGAGTACACTTCATATGGAAAACTCAGATAAGTTCTCTCAAACCTTGGAGTGTCAAAATCCAAATTTTAAGTCCATCTCTGTTTATGATATGAATCTAATTTAGAAGTAAATGCTCAACTCATTCTCCAAATGAGCTCCATCATGCTGCTTAAATGAAGTCACAAAGGCAAGAAAGGAGGTTGGTCCAGATTAATAGCTCCATATTCATTTTCCAACAGTAGCTCGATTGCTGAAGAAGCATTAATTGACTTGACTGAAACAACTCATGCTGTCCAGTATTAGTAACGATCGTGCAATCTAAATGTAAAGCCATTCAGGGATAATGCAACCTACTGATGAATGTGTGTTATATGTCACCCTATGGGCCCTGACTACAGAAGATATCATTCCCAAGGCACCAGCTGACTTCAGCTGAAGCTATAGAAATTCACACTTCTAAATCAGGAGGTTTCTGCTTCAATTGTCAGCACTGGCCAAGATGGACACTGTCATACTAATAAAACAGGATATACTTTTCACTAATTGCGTATAGTATAATTACATTATATCCTGCTTTAATATTTCAGGTTCAAATGAACACTTGGTAACTGTCTCATACTGCTTATTTTTAAGGATTTATTCCCCTTTATTTTATTTATTTTAATGAGGAGCATATAGACTTCTCCCCATAACAGATCTTTTTTGATTTCCAATAACAAGGAAAGGTTATTGGTGCTATGAATTTTGTAGCTAGCACTCTGATACACCCACTATTCTTGCTGCTGCCTGTTCACACTGCATAGCATGTATCTTTCTGTTTGTGCATACGTGGAAAATTTAGTTTATTTAAATAGATTAACAAGAGCTGTAACAAAGGGGATTAGTCTATGGAACAATGTTTGAAAATTGTCTGTTTGGCAGACAGAAATTGTTTGGAAGTGTTGTTTGGTGCCTATTTCTTTTTTCTTTCCCAAACGGATGAGTTTCCCGTTCTCTTGGATAAGAATCAGGATTTAAGTGATTGGCAGGATTTGACGCCAAAGGACACAGCATCTGTCCCATCAGGGGACGTGCAGAATAGGAACATTTTTTGAGTTGCTTCATAGGGGTTTCCAATTTTCCCCTTGCACTAGGGGAACGCTTAACAAACGTGTTGCTTGCCTTCTTAACTTGGCACAGCATGTGCTATCCTGCATTAGAAATCCTTTCTGGATTTATGCACATCACACACTGCAATTCACATGCTGGGGGCGCTTTCCAATTGTTCTGTAGAATTTCTCACGGTAGAGGCATCCTCAAGATCTGGCAGACATGACTCTTCTCTATGGATTTAGGGGCAAATCCCAGTACACAAAGCCTGAGCAAATGAGGTTCATGCAGAAGCTCTGCACAGGCGTTGAGCAAACAAGATTCATCCCGCAACCTGCCAGTGGAGGAAAAAACTCCAGCACAGCATCTGCTGAGCTCCCTTCTATTTCCAACATGGAAATTTAAAAAAAACAACCTGCATCATTACAAGCCTAGTGAAAGGCAATTGTAAAACTATCTGTACTGTCATGAAAATGGGGCACCACAGTTGCTGCTTCTGGATACTCAGGATTAGAGCCGGTCAGGAATTTTTCAGCAAAACAGGGTCCCGTTGTAAAAGGCCGGTTCCTCTAACCTGGAATATTTTGGGGGAACATACTGGTTTCAGCAAATTTCCAACTAAACACAGGCAAGGTTCCAACTAGGCTCCTGCCAATATGCCTGGTGGAGCACATAGGAACCTAGGCTCCATGGTCTGTACCTCTAAGGATAGCCTTTCCATGCAGGCTGCCTGGGTGCTAGGGATAGCAGAGATCCAGGCTCCCTGCCATGGAGTTGGGAACTTGGGTGCTGCTGGGTGAGCTCATGCTGAGCCAAAAACACTGACATTTGTACTCACAGGGTGAGTTGCGTTTTACATTTTTTAAATGAAACAATGGATTATTTCTACATGATTTTTCTCAGATCCCAGCACCTGGAAGAAGCTTCAAAAATTCTCTCTGTTTTCTCTGAAGATGAAGGGACTTTTTTTTCCAAAAATTTAGAATTTCCTACAGAACAGAAATTCTGACTTCCAGCCAGTCCTACTGGGCACATTCCATCTCCCTGAACAGACTGTCAGTAGCTTGTCCTCCCCCCACCAAAGTGGAGCCATGCAGTTCATTTGCTTTTCAAGCTTTGTGTGCCAAGGCAAAGAGAAATTGGCTCTTAGTGAAGCTTTCAGTAAAAGGAATCTGATCCATGACTGTTAAGGGGAAGAATTATTTAAACTATAATTGGTGGTGATTACACACTCCTTGGTATTTTGTCATGTGCCATGTTTGTGCTGCATCTGCCAACACGGGGTGGGAGGGTTACATGCAGTCGTTCTTTGGGCTTATCCCAGCAATTAACAGAGTAGCAGCAACATTAGCTGCCAGTCAAATTTGATTGAGAATGTCGCTCTGGCCTGTGGTTGGCTAATGAATTCCACATCACTACAACTTGCAGGATTCAGCTGGTTGCAAAGAGAAACCCTCAAGATGCTTTTAATTAGAACATGTGAATAATGGTCATCTTGTGTGCATTTTACAGACAGCCACAAAAATTTGCCTTGCCATTTTGAAGAGCAAGCTCAAAGCTGGGATCCACATTATGCAGGGTTACATTTCCAGTGGATACATGAAGAGGTGTATAAATTCTCAACTCAGCGGTGGGTAGTAGGGTATCCCTAAAAAATGACTCCAGATAATGAATGTGACTTTACCTTATGTCTGTAATCTTACCACTTTTTAAAGAGAGATTGGTTTCACTCTTTTTACATGGCATTTAATTGAATTAACAGTAAATATTATTCTCACTGAAACAGTACTTCACTGTACAAGTGAAATCTCCCTGGACTGCAGAAGTACCTGACACATGCTAATACATAATTTCTTTACTTCCACTCAGTATTTATCTTCAACAGAACATTACAGTCTCAGAACAGTTTATCAAAACACATGTAAGCCCTATGGTCTAGTATTTTGACAATTAACGTTTTTGCCAGGACCTTACAGACCTGAGAGTCTGCTCTCTCTCCCTTCCTTTTTCCTTCACGAAAGGTACCAGATGTTCTGAATTTTCCCATTTGCTCCCACTTCTGGTTCTATAACAGAAGACCAAATCACAATTCTGCATTGACAAGCTCTCATTTGGACAGAGAGAGAATCCTGCAAGCTAATATTACACAGCATCCTGGGACCAGTTTTCAAACTGAAGCATGTATTTTGGTGGGCATCCCAGGTGAATTGTTTCTGTGATTTTTGCACCTGCAGATCATTCAGGCTTTTCCTGGCCATTCACTGCAGGTGCAGAATTGTGATTTTATACACATCACACACAGAAAAAGGGTATGATTTATTGCTGTGACTGAAAAAATTAAGGTGATATTTGAGAATCAATTTCCTGTTGTTCAGTGTTATCGGTTACTATTAAATGATGACCATTTAGAAATTACTGGAAGTTAAATTCGCATATGTACTCATGCACTGTAGCACTTGTTCGCCATTTGCAGAAATAAATACATTTTTAAAAGCTGCTCTACCCGAGTCTGTAAATTTGCATATCAATATCTCTGTACACATGCATCAGGAGTGTGAGGTTGATAGAGCACTTTGAGATCGTCAGACATCAAGCTCTAGGGAAGTATAAATATAATTATTACCAATCTATTTTTATTTCTTCATGCTCTCAATTCCAGAATTGTGACATTTGACGAGTTCACTAGAGGCACCACATCTTTTATGTTTATGCCAACATTTCAGACTTAGAGCAAGCACATTCCTTTTAGCCCCACCTGCTTTGGTTGTTACTTTCAGCAAATAACCATCCAAGTTGATCTGAAACTGTGGTGTCTTACAAGGGAGTGATATCCGGGTCCCATTCCACTTCACAGTAAGGTGTTGCTGGAGACTGATTGTATTTCTGCCCAACACAAGGTCCACAGATTTTGTCCAAGAAAAAGATCGGGTCCGACGAGCATCATTTTTCACCAGCACCTGGAAGGACGAGGCAGAGGAGGAGCAGTCTTTTGTCAAAACGTACTGACATGTTCCCTGAAAGTTAAATGTCCGTCCATCAAAAGTGTTGTAGTGGGGGTCTCCAAATACAGTGCAAACTCCAGGCTCTGCAGGTGAGTGAGAAACAAAAGCACCATCAAGACCAGTTGAAGTTTAAACAGTAGTAATTGGTAAACATTGTTTGGGGATGGAGAGCACCTGATAAAAAATTTTGTGAAAAAAAAAGTAGAATGGAAAGCCTGCATTTTTTTCTTCTAATGTAAAGATCCTTGAATGGTTAGGAAGCTCAATACCAACATTATACTGGTAAATGAAGGTTAGAGCAAAAAAATCGAACAAAAAGAAAATAAAACTCCAGTGAGGCTACCTTAAAACTCCAATGAGGCTACCTTCATCACTCAAACTAAGAGTCTTAAAGGATCTAAACAAGATGTAGAGATTATGTTATTACAATTTAAATTAGATTATTATTATTATTATTATTTTTTTTTTTTTTTTTTTTTTAAAATTTAAATTAAATTTTTTTTTTTTTTTTTTTTTTTTTTTTTTTTTTTTTTTTTAAGTACTAGCCATTGTGAGTCTTGGTCTGCTACTCAGATTAGTGCAGGCAAGTCCCTGAGTCCATGCAGGGTCCAGTGAAAGTTAACAAAACTCTATAGGCACAAGAGTCTGAACACACTGAATTTATTGTAGGGTCATGGCCTGAGGCATTAACACTAACAGAGATACAAAATGTTAAAAAATACACACACGTGTGTGCACATGCACACAAGTGGGCTATTTAAAGTTAATGTTTTTGATGTCCCTAAATATGAGTTACATTTCAGTCCTACTGAAGTCAATGGGCATTGTGCCATTAAGTTCAGTAAGACCTGGATCTGACCACATAGGCTTATGTATTTATATTCATTACATATGTATACATTATATAGTTAGAGATGTTTGCCCAGATTCTCTGGCTTGTTTTGACTAGTTTACTCTGCTCCATCAACAGCTACCATAAATCTTGCCTAACAGTAAGCCATGAAATTGAATATGTTTACACGGTTGCTCTATGATATTATATACCTTTTATAACCCATTGCTTCTATTTGTGATTTATTCACCATTGTTTTTTATAGGTTCATTGCAGTGATACTGGGTAAAAGGCTTCTCTGGATAGAAAATAAAGACGTGATGAATTGATAAATACCTAATATTATGGTATACCTGCATATTAATTCTTACAAATTTGGAGCAAATTTCTGGCTGTGCATGATAGGGAAGTAAAAAAATCAAAGGGGAGAAAGGCCAATTTTTTTCTAACCTGATAACGACGATGACTTCACTTGTGGAAACACATGGGGAAACCAGTCACAGACTAGGACAAGTTGTTTTCTATGATTCTATGATACTCAGTACTGCATGAACTTACAACAAAAAGACCATCCCTCCTCTAAGCCAACAGTCTCAGGGTATGGATACACAAGCAAGTGACTGCCAAATAAATGAGGGTGGGGATGAGAGTACCCAGGTGTGTGCACTTATTCAATTAAAGAAGACAGTTAATTAAAAGCCCCATAGAGGTTTCTAAGTAAAATTCCAATTCCTCTTTTGTAGGCTATACCTAACAAGAGATATGGAGAAGACTTTGGTGTATTGAGATCCAGGGAAATGCTCAACATGTTTGATTTTCACTCAAGAATGTCAGGGTTGCTGATACAGCAGTGAGTTCTAACAGCACAAATACTATCTGACTACTGCTGCTCCTGTCAGGAATTACGTCAAAGGCACGCACATTGACAGACTGTCAGTCACCCAAGTACAAGTATACAATACTTTTGAAGGATCAATATAGCCTTCATTTAGGGAGGGAAATTGGTATAGAAGAAAATATGACCCATAGGAAAGAGACAGTTAACACAAGAACTACTCATTAAAATTTAAAAATGGTATTTATCGGTCAAAAAGCAGAAAAAACATCTATCCAAAAATGGTGCAACTAGTAAATCCATGTCTACTGGCTCAAAAAAAGGACAAATGCAAATCTAGAAGACAGAATGGCCTTCTGGATGAGACCATGTCTACATGGTATGATGGCCTATCAAGTACATATACCTGACCTAACTCTGAACACACTGGCTAGGGACAGAAGTTACATATACTTTGGTTTAAGTGATCAGAAACTGGTTTAAACCTGTAACAGAACAGAAACTCAGTGCACATAACCAGTGTCAAAATGGCTGAAACTGGTTTAAGATAAACCTGGTTGAATGCAGTGTCAGACTTAACTGATTTGGGTCAAACCAGTTTATGAAACTTCTGTCCCAGGCCGCTTCCTGGTTCAAGTTAAATCACAGTTCCCCAGCATCCCGGGATGCTTTGCTACCCTGGGCTGGCGTGGGCAGAGAGCAGGCCTAGCCCTGCAGACCTCTGCTCCTTAGCTGGAGCAGTGAGGGCTGGTTGACTGGGGTGAACGAGGTAAGCTCAGCTGGGGATGCAGGTCAGTCTGCAGGGTGGGGACTGCCCCCTCCAGGCAAAACCCAACTGAGGTCTGGGGCCAGGGGATAAAGATAAACACCCCTTCCCAACTCAAACTTACTGCTGGCTGTGATTGTGGACTACAAATCCCAGAGGCGTGTGGAAGCAGGAAAAGGAAGTGATGAGCAACCCTGCAGAGTCCTGCTACTCTGATTTTGGACTGCAAATCCCAGAGACCTGGGGGCAGGAGGAAAATGAAGTGAACACACAGCCAGAGAGCTGTACTGTAGTGCCCCTGGCTGGTGGCCTGAGCCATTGCAGGCATTTGGCTGCATTTCCTTAATCAAAGGTAAATGTCTATTCACTTCTGTTTCAATTTAATCTGTGCAGTTTAGACTAACCTGCAAAGACTGAATCGATTCTACCACAGGCTTTTTAACTGTCTGTACTTAGCCACTAGCTCAGGTAAGCTAAGTAGTGTAGATGTTAGTGTTGTACTTGACTTGGGCTAATATACCCTGCTTCCATCTGAGCTTACGTACCCTGCAGCATCCAGGTAGTACACCCACAGAATCAGGTGCTGGGGCACTTGTATTCTACTCTTAGCTTTGCCATACATCCTCCCTTTCCATTAAGACCTTGAGTACATTTTTTAGGTCAAATGTTACAATGTTTGGTTTCCCAATAGGAGACTCTGAACTTCTTTTCCACAGAAAAGTAAGACTTGCATCTTCAGCTGAAATCATTGTTGCAGCTGCTCAGCATGTCTGGAAATCATGCCCATGGAATTGCAATCAAATACTGAGGGATCAAAATTAGGGGCATATTTTTCTTCTGTACCAAAATTAGGGGTAACTATTGAAGCATACACTTTTGAAAATGCATGCACCTAGCACTCTGCCTCAGTTCTCCCATCTGGAAACTTGGGATGTTACCTCACAGGGTGTTAGCATGGATTAATTAATATCTCTAAATAAATCTGAATAAAAGTAAATGTTATGCATGTCAGGAATTATAGCATTAGGTTACTAGTAAATATTAAATTATTGTCTCAATTTCCCAATATACCAGTCTAATTTTTGCATAAAAGAATTCAATATGTATTTAATTATTTGTTCCATTCATATTATATTTTAGCAATGTTTTATTTTTTATTTTAAAGCATGCAGGTAACATATTAGAAAGTGAGGAAATCATCAGCAAAAATATCCAAACAAAGATGAAAAAAAAATCAGTGAAAAGAACTGCTTTTTGTCTGAGTTTCTGGGAGCCAAGAATATAGGGATATTGTATGTGTTATTACCTAATATATCTCAGAGTTGTCTTTCTTTCTTCACCTAAGCAAGTGGTTAAGTGTCAAGACATGTGGAACAAACATCATTTAGAGATGTGCCAGTTTAAAATGATAGCACCAATGAGATCCAAAAGAAATATTTATTTTTTATTTTTAATGTGTTATATAGACTAATGCTGTTTAATGTTATGTTATGTGGTGTCACATCATATGTCAACTTGATGCAGTGCAGTTAAAATAAAAATAATGTGTTTTGGATTGAACAGTTCAATATCTGATCCAAATTCTTCTTTCACTTTCATAGCTGAAAGAGAAAAAGGCAGTTACCTAGAAAGAGTCTGAACTAACTGATATTTCAGCACCTTTGTGTAGCACATTTTCAAAAGAGTTATAAGAAAAATGTTTAAAGTACACATGCAAGGGGAAAAAATTAACAGTACACATGCATGTGTGCAGTAGCTCTGACAACTGCCAGCAGTGAGTACTGTATTGTTGTCCTGAAAGGAAACCTTAAGTACAGGGTGTAGCAGGACTGCAAAGAGCAGATGACATAAAAAGAGTTTGTGATATTTTTAGGTTTCTTCTTTCTTTCCTAAAAGGGTTTCAAAGACATGTTGTTTTATGTTCCTTCTTTTTAAAGATGTCCCTCCTGCTTGACTGTCCCTTAAATCCAATGCAAGCAATGAAAACATAGAAAATATAGTATATGAGGAACCCTCTACAGCTGGGATAGGGACCAGATACAGTCCATGGAGCCATGTGATATGGCCCACAAGTCAGTAAACTGACTCTATGTGCCAGCCTAGCCCCATGCATTGCATGAGGTGCATGGGCTGGGCCCTGTGCCATGCACACTGCAGGCAAGATAGGCAAGCAGTCTGAGATGCCACAAGTAGCCCATGCCGTGGACCCCCTGTGCTTTGTGCATCACCAAGACCAGCCCGTGTATGGTGGGCAGTTGGGGTGTGCGAAGCAAGCAATATTTGATTCCGATTTGGTTTTGGCCCAATTTGGGGGACAGTGATTTAATTTGCTGATTTGGATCACTATCCCAATTCAATTTGACCAAACCTGAATCTGAAGATTCAATTCTGATTTGGAAAATCAGCAATTCAGCCATAGACACAGCTTTATAATGTTTTTTCTACATACCTCAAGGTACCAGGTGCGGCTCATGAATGCTGAGATGGTGGGGCAGACGGAGCATCCCACGGGAGTGTGGGGGGTCCCCCTCATGCTTGGCAGCCCCCCTGGCTCAGTGATCGGCCATGGGGGGACGCCAGGTGCCCCCCCTGCAGACCCAGGAGGCATCAGTCACCAAGCTGTACTTCTGGTCCACTTCCGGGTCTGCCG